TGATGCTGTGCACATTACTAATCTCTGTAAGTTTCAGTTTCCCCATCTATGAAATAGGGATTGAAATATAAATCCTATAGGGTGGCTGCAAGGATTACAGGATATTACCTTGCATAATGTGTTAGGTGTAATAAACACTCAATAAAAATTAGTTTTCTTCTGAAATTTTGCAGCATGTATGGTCTTTGCCACCAATTTAATACTTTGATTGTTCACTGTTTCATATGCATGTGGTTTGACTCCTCAACCAGGGTAAAATCTCCTTCTAGAACAGAATGTCTCAGATCGTTATAGACTACCAAGCCATATTTAATATTTTTGCTTATTAATTACTCTTCATCATTAATCTGATTGATATCAACTGGTTGGTTGATCATTAGTTTTAACCTTTTACAAAGTTAGATAAGAAAGTGCCTCTCATCCTCTAAGAAGGTCATGAAAATATGACTTTACTTGGGCTGTATAAAAGAAAGATTCATATTTTTAAGAGTCTCTAAATGACTCCAGTCCCAAGAGTACTTAAAAAAATTAGTATCAATGCTGCAAAGCTATTATAAAGACAAAAATGCGTGGCCTCCACTGACACAAGACCTCTAAGAAAATGTCTGTATTTGTACTAGCTCAAATGTCACCGTCTGAGAGAAGCCCTCTTAGAAAATCCTATCCAAATGAGCCTTCATTCTCGTTGGCCAGTCATTCTCTATCATTCTATTAATTTTAATTTCCCCAAAGTCATCATTGCAATCTGAAATCATTCATTTACCTGCTAGTGTATTCAATATCAGTCTCCCATCAGACCATGAGCTTCTTAAAGACAAGAACATGGCTGGTGGTTCATTGCTACATTCTCAGTGCCTAGAGCAATGCTTGATAATGAGCATTGAATAATATTTATTGAATTGAACCGGATGAAGCTTAATATAGGTGTAGGGAATGAAGCTACTGTTGTTGATCATAACAAAAAAGCTTTTGTGAAATGCATATTTGTGGCTGGGTTCCCTTGGGAAGACAACTACTCTCCTTTAGCTTGCTGAATGCAAATTGGTGCAACAGAGCTTCTCTGAAATCCTCAAAGTACTAAGCAATGAATTAAACACTTAGCATCAACCAAACAGCTCTGCTCTTGGATCTCAACTCTCAAAAATCCCACTAATGAAAAACTTTTCTATAGAAAAAGATATTAATCTATAGGCTGTAAGAAAGTTCTGAATGTCTCCATATTTATTAAATTGCTACTTGAATTGAAATGCTATCATTTTTCCTCCAACACTTATTCATTTTATGTTTTGAAATATTATTTTGTTCTTAACCCGCTATTTCTTACTTCTATAAAAATTCTGAGCATCCTTCAAAGCTCAATTGAAGTTCTGCCTCACCAATGATAACAACCTCTCCTTCTTACTGTAAGCATCTTCTTTGAATTTCCAGAGCATTTTATATCATTGACCTCATTGTGAATGGCTGCCTAAAAAGTGAGCCCTTTCAAGAAAGAAATCATGGTGTGTATTTTTTTATCCTCCATTATGTATAATGGATGCTTGCTAGCTACTATTTAAATTTACATTGATCTATCACAGAATGCCATATGAAGAACAATAAATCTTTGTTAATTTAGGGGTAGCTTTAACTTGTAGTAAATAATATTATCTAGCCATGCAACCCTTCTGCACCATCCTTAAAAAATGGCTTTGGTCAACAAATTATACAATAAGTATGTGTTGAGATTCTATAATAGATCAGGAACTATCCTAGATATTGACGATGCAAAGATGAACAAGATAGCCTTTCCCACTACAAAAATGAGCAATTATGGAGCATCTTAGACTATGGAAGAATAATCCTTCTAATAAATAGCCCTTTGTGTATAATTATTGTGTAATCATTATGGAAATTACAATAAATTCTCACTTTTGTGAACGAGAATTGCATAGAGCATATTCTTCACAATTCTTTATCCAGTTTGTGTTTTCAAAAAATCATTTTTATTACTTTTTCAGGTATACATGGAAACATACGCCATAATTCAGATGTAACTAACTTGGATTGTTCTAATTAACCCAAATTACAAAAATGTTTTGTACTTAAAATTCTAAATGATTATTAAAATTATTATTCTTACTATTGGGTGAAAACATGGAGATTTCTATGTCAAGTTTTCTGATGGGTGTACTGTGATTATCTACTATCCCAGATCTCAAAGGGTGTTGGACCAGTAAACAATGTTGGTATGCTGCTAAATAAAAAACAATAATAACAACCACAAGCTTCACATGTAGTTGTTTTTGTTATACCATTATGAAGCCAAGGGGTGATGCAAGATTTCCAAATAGGAGTGGTTTTCTAAGTTTTGAGGCATGCCATGCACAGAGAGCCGAAACACCATGGAGATACTCAGTCGGTCATTGTCCAGCTATTTTGATCTGATGGCTAATAGAATTAACTAGCATGCCACCCTCTGGAGTTATTTATAAAACTAAAGCAATGATTAAGTTTTGGTTTGCTCTCCCAAACCAAACTCCATTTCCAGTGAATGGCTGTGGTGGTTGGCAACCTGAGCCCCCCAAATCAAACCCTGGTTAAATGGGTCAGTGAGCAACCAGTGTAACTGTCCACCAGCAAAAAGTCTGGGATAGAAGCAAAGGCAAGAGGTTTCAAGTCCTGGCTCTGCTGTTTCCCAGCCATCTAGAAACGGGCAGGTAGGTCACAAACTTTATCATTTACTTCTCCATTTGCAAATCAATACTTCCTGGCCTGTCCACCTTTCATGGTTATTGTGAGGCTCCAGTGGGATAATATATGAAAGTGCTTGTAAATGGCATGGTCCTAGCCTCTTTACCATTCTCCCCATGCTGCAGTGATGCATTCAAGGAGGAAAGTGTATACTTATGGTTCAACACACCAAGCAAAATCCAGCCTCAGAGGCACTCTCACCTCAATCCCTTAAGATACGTCTTCTTTCCTGATTGTCCAAGTGCCTGTGGTGCTGCTGAATGACAGGGCTAATTGCACAGACCCTAAGGTCAGATTGTCAGCTTCATCACTTGGTTGAATATTTAACATTTTATAAGCTCATTTCTAGATCGATAAAATGATGATTCAAATATTATCTATCTCACAGCATTGTGGGAGGGTGAGATCATCACGTAAAATACACGGTATAGTATCGGGGGCACGCGATCACAATGACAATTACTATCGGCCTCACACAGGTTTCTGCAGCTAATACGAAGGCAAAAATCACACTAGAGTCAGAAGATCTGGTTTCAAGTCCTCATACCCTCTGTGACAGGCTGGATGATGCTGCAAAAGTCATCTAATCTCTCTGGAAAACAGTTACTACTTAGAAAAGGATGCTTATATTCACTTCATGGGGCCTATATAAAGATCACATAGAGTAATGTATATAAAACTTCTATACTCATTGTAAAGCATGAGGAAAATGCGCAAGGCTGTTATGTGACTTTTCTGTATGAACAAACATGCAGAAAACAATTGCAAAGATTTTATTTAGCGGCTTTCTGTGCTTGGCACTTAGAAACAGAGTTCCGTGCATAAGGGCAAATTTTTATACACCTTTCCTTCATACATATTTTACATACCCTTTTATTGCCCCCTTTTTCATATTCATAATATTGGATTCCCCACTAGGCACATAAATACATATATCTACAACACCTCAAAACCAAAAATCTTAATAATATCTGTATTATTTTACTTGGTATTATTTGCATTTCCACACCATTTTAAAATTTTAGCTTGCACTAAGCTTCACTTGTTTTCTTATCATTAAGAGATTTGAAGGGAAAGGGAACAATGAAGGAAAAAACCCAAAACTTCAAAATGCAATGAACTATTTGATAAAAATGGAGATCTAAGGACAGGTAGAAGGGTATAGAAGACTCATCTGCAATTCCCTGGGACATGAGGGGACTTTTCCTGCCACAGGGGCTAGCGGGCAGGCATGCTAGGTCAGGTGTTTGGACCCAGCACGTGGAGGCCAGGCCTCTCTCTGTGGCCTCTGCTCTTGGTATCATCTTCCGAGATTATAAAACTCTTCCATCTTCACACCCTCCTATTTCCCTTCCCCTGCCAGGCTGTGAGCTGTGGAATCAGCACTTCCCACATGGTGCACCTCTCTTCTGGATCACAGTGGTCAGAGCTGTGGGATCAGCACTTCCCACATGGTGCACCTCTCTTCTGGATCACAGCGGTCAGAGCTGTGGGATCAGCACTTCCCACATGGTGCACCTCTCTTCTGGATCACAGTGGTCAGAGCTGTGGGATCAGCACTTCCCACATGGTGCACCTCTCTTCTGGATCACAGTGGTCAGAGCTGTGGCATCAGAATGCATCCCTTGCTCTGTCCCTCTCACCCATGCCCTGACCATGCTCAGTGTCCCAGAGAAGTTTACTCCTCAGTAACGCCATGATTCTTCCTATAACCTGCAGTGGGGTGGGTGGGGTTTGGGAGGACAAACCAAAAACACATCTCCTTGGTGAATTAAAACTCTCATCACTGCTCACACTCTCTCTCAGTCTTGCTCTCCACCTAACACTTGCTCTCTATTCTTTCTGTCCCTCTTGTCTTCAGCTGCTCTTACTCCCTCTTTCCACAGGCACCACTGGGAATATCAATGATAGCATACAAGTGAAGACAGCCAAAGTTCAAAAGTAATCTTTTTCCAGAAGCCAAGTCCAGATGTCGTACTGATCTCTTTCTACTCTCATCCACGGGGAGGGTCTCCAAGATACACGGTTCATTCGAGAAGCAGAGGAAGTTGCAGGAGAGAATGGCTGGCAGCTACTGCTGGCCCACTCCAACTAGAGTTGTACATAGACAAATTCTTGGTGAAAGTACCCATTCTGGACCTCCCTCCACAGAGTCTGCCCAGTTCAGAGTCAGTGTGCATGTATGTTTGCGTGTGTATGAATTGTGTATGAATATATATGTGTGTGTGCATGTATGCATAGGTAGGTCTGTCCGTCTGTGGGTGTGTAACTTTTCATGGCTGCCACACACTAGCATCTCCCTTATCATTATGACGAAGTGATTATGCGGTCTCTTCAAAGGCCACTCTGGAACAGACAATGCTTTATAAAACTAAGGTCTGGGAAAGCAGGAGAATGGCCACTGAGTTGTGGATGATTCTACCGCAAGTATCCTTCAGTGGCTTAAAGGTGTCCCTTGTTCTTGGGTATACGTTTTCCTCCAGGAAAAAAAAAAAAAAATACACAGTTCCTGTTTTCCAAAGGCACTGGACGCCCAAAGAGGAGGATCTGCCCACGGAGACTCTGGGGCCTTGATTGTCATATGCTCCGTGGTATTTGGACTGGCCTTTAAACCATGTGCACGGACATCTGGGAGGAGGAGCCTGGAACTGCCCCGTACTGCCGGCCATCACAAGCGTTGGTTGCCTGCTGGTTATTGGGTGAAGGACTAATCATGTGCATGCTGTGCTCCATCCCTGAGGGCAGGTACTGCCTCTCTCCAAAGGCCCCATTGGAAGGAGAAGAACAGAGTAAAGTGCTTTGAGAGGCGCTCAGTTTTTCTGGGCTTGCGGCTAGCCTAGGGGAGGTGGGGAAATTGTATCCATACAGGTTGTAAGGGTTGTGAAGGGAGAAGGCATTGTAGGAGCTCTGCTGCATGTGACTGCCCCCGAACATGTGTGGTGATGAGGAGCTGGAGGCAGCATTGCCTGCCTGCATGACATACTGAAACTGGGAAGTGGGGAAGGACCCCAGCTGGCCACCGTAGGCTTCCATCTTGCTGTTGCCAGGCAACGAGGGAGGAGTTGGTATTCCTGAGATCAGGGATGGAGTCCTCTGAGGCATGAAGGTTTCAGAGGGCTGAGCGGCTGAAGAGGTGCCACTCTGGAGCCTGTTGTAGCCACTGTCACTCAGCCCTGGGTAGCTCTGCAAGGCAGCCATGTTGCTTCGGGCACATGGTGGATAATCAGAGAGGTTTAGATTACACAGCTGGCTCTCTCGGCAGCCCACATTGAAAGTATTGGGGGCCAGGTGAAAAGTTGGAGGAGAACAGGATGGAGATAAAAGATGAGAAGAAGCCGAAGGGGATGGTGTCCCAGTGCTGGAGGTTGTTGGGGAAGTGCCTGTGCTGCCTCCTGAAAAATAAAATGTGAATACTAGTGAGACAGAGGCCTTTTAAGATGAGTGAGTCTAAGTCAAATCCAAGCCACACAGAAGGTGCCTTCAAATGTCCAAGATAAGGCTGACTCTTACAGAACCATTTTTCCTCTTAACTCTGCAGACCTATGCTAAGTGATTCCACCTGTGGACACATACACAGTCATACAGGCATATACATACACATACATACACATTCCAGAAGATGATGACTAAAAGCAACACTATTTTTTTTAATTTCTCTCTGTAATAGCCTTAGTAAGTCCTTTGTATAAAAATAACAACAAACCTTCCAAGATTCATGTTGCCATTTCTCACCATCAAATTCCCTTTCTAATAAGACCTCTGGGAATCACCCGTGGGGGCTGCAGAACAGCAAAGATTGCTGCCTGTTCCTTTCCTCTGGTAGCTTCGTCCCAAAATGATGCCTACCAGATCCCATCTGACAAAGGGCTAATACCCAGAATCTATAAAGAACTGAAACAGATTTACAAGAAACAAACAAACAACCCCATCCAAAAGTGGGCAAAGGATATGAACACTTTTCAAAAGAACACATATATGAGGCCAACAAACATATGAAAAAAAATGTTCATCATCACTGATTATTAGGGAAATGCAAATCAAAACCACATTGAGATACCACCTCACACCAGTTAGAATGGCGATCATTAAAAAATCTGGAGAAATTTAATGGCAATCATTAAAAGATGCTGGAGAGGATGTGGAGAAATAGGAACACTTTTACCCTGTTGGTGGGAGTATAAATTAGTTCAACCATTGTGGAAGACAGTGTGGTGCTTCCTCAAGGACCTAGAAATAGAAATTCCATTTGACCCAGCAATCCCATTACTGGGTATATACCCAAAGGATTATAAATCATTCTGTTATAAAGACACATGCACACATATGTTCATTGTGGCACTGTTTACAATAGCAAAGACCTGGAACCAACCCAAATGCCCATCAATGATAGACTGGACAAGGAAAATGTGGCACATATACACCATGGAATACTATGCAGCCATAAAAAAACGATGAGTCTGTGTTCTTTGTAGGGACATGGATGAATCTGGAAACCATCATTCTCAGCAAACTGACACAAGAACAGAAAATCAAACAGCGCACGTTCTCACTCATAGGCGGGTGTTGAACAATGAGAACACATGGACACAGGGAGGGAAGCATCACACACTGGGGTCTGTTGAGGAGGGCCAAGGGAGGGACAGCGAGGGGGTGGGGAGGTTGGGGAGGGATGACATGGGAAGAAATGCCACATGTAGGTGACAGGGGGATGGAGGCAGCAAACCATATTGCCATGTGTGTACCTATGCAACAATCCTGCATGATCTGCACATGTACCCCAGAACCTAAAGTACAATTAAAAAAAAATACCATTTTACTCAGCAATCCCATTACTGGTTATATACCCAAAGGATTATAAATCATTCTATTATAAAGACACATGCACACGTATGTTTATTGTGGCACTGTTCACAATAGCAAAGACTTGGAACCAACTCAAATGCCAATGAATGATAGACTGGATAAAAAAAAATGTGGCACATATACACCATGGAATACTATGCAGCCATAAAAAAGGATGAGTTCATGTCCTTTGCAGGGACATGGATGAAACTGGAAACCATCATTCTCAGCAAACTGACACAAGAATTGAAAACCAAACACTGCATGTTCTCATTCATAGGTGAGTCTTGAACAATAAGAGCACACAGACATTGGTAGGAGAACATCACACACTGGGACTTGGGGGGTGGAGAGCTAGGGGAGGAACAGCAAGGGGTGGGGGGATTGGGGAGAGATAGCATTAGGAGAAATATCTAATGTAGATGACGGGGCGATGGATGCAGCAAACCACCACCATAGCATGTGAATACCTATGTAACAAACCTACATGATCTGCACCCCAGAACTTAAAGTATAACGGATAATAAATAAATAAATAAATAAATAAAATATGCTATCATGAGAAATAAATACATAAATAAATAAAATATATTGTCATGGGGGAAAAAATAAAGACCTCTGATGTCAGCATTAAAAATCCACTAGCTCAGCTTTTCCCATTCTTAATGGAAATGCATTAAATTTGTATTTTATTCAAGGGCTGTTGCCTACTTTGCCATTTTTAGTCTTCCAGCCAAACACACAGGACACCAAAGCGGGACCCTAATCTCAGAGGAAATGTGGGTAATGGGAAAGAGCGCCAAGTCAAAATTGAGGCCAGGGGTGGGGGGCAGAGCAGCGGAGCCTGGCGTATGAGACGGAAAATGCATCACATGAAAGACATTGGGAACACAATTATAAGAGCTACGTCAGAATAAAGCAAGGCTAACCCAAAACAAATTATTCTGAACCAGAGGCTCTGCTGATCTCCTTTTATGGGATCATGCCCAGTTTCGGAGACTGAAATAAAGACTGTAAATGGAGTCTCTGGAGTTTGGATATTTATGAGAACAAGAGGCCAAACAGGTCTTCAACTGACCTGAGAGTCAGGAGATCTGGGTCTGCTCACAACTCTGCCACACTAAGTGCCCAGGTAGCCCTGGGCACATCACTTACCCTTTGCAGGTTATGGTTTCTTCATCTAGAGATAAGGAATTAAGTTAGATCAGTGGTTCTCAGGCATACAGGACCTGGCAGCTTTTAAAAATGCTGATGTTCCAGGATCCTACCTTGGATAAACTAAAGGATCGTTTCTGGGCATGGGATCTCTATATCAGTATTGTTTTAAAAACTCCCCCAGATGTGTAGCAGTGCTTAAGAACCAATCATACAACCCCAGTTCCTCATTTCTAAGTACTCAGAAACGCCCTTCCTAAACTGAGTGTGCATGAGAATAAGCTAGATGGCTTGTTAGAGTATAGATTGCTTACTCCATCCCCAAAGCCTCTGATTCTGTAGATCTGGGGTGGGGCTGAAGAATTCTCATTTCCAACAAGTTCTCAGGTGATGGTCCAGAGACCACACTTTTGGCTAGAGGACCTCCAGATTCCTTTCATTTCCAAAAGTCCTTGAATCTGTATTTGAACAAGTTGATCTTATGATGTGTGAATATTAGAGCTAGTCAGGTGGATGACTCATCAACAGACTAAGGGCCAGTTCAGTCCAGCCTACCTTATTGTGTTGTTAGACGGTTTAAGAAGGCCAGTAATGACCTTTACGAGCCTCCTCTTTCCCAAGGTCAGGAAGCAGCAGTGCAGGAGCCGCTTCCTGTCTCATCCAATGGAAGTTAACAACATGGCTGAGTGCTGGGCTACAGGGCCCTTCACTTGAATTCTGGAAAGAGCAGCTGCTTTGTCTTCCATAAGGAATCTCCCATGATGGAACTTCCTCCTTCAGAGCAAGGTTAGGACTTTCCCAGCATTGTCAAGAGCTGTTATTCCCCCAAGGAATGTAATATCCTTTTGATCACCTACCACTCATGTTGGGACACTCAGAAGCTGAGCATTAGAAATGGGTAAGAGACATTTTAGGTAGAAAAGAGCAGGAATAAGGTTTTTCTCAGTGAATAAAATGTTATAAAAACTAGGGCTTGGAACAGTGGCTCATGCCTGTAGTCCTAGCACTTTGGGAGACTGAGGTGGGTGGACCACTTGAGGTCAGGAGTTTGAAACCAGTCTGACCAACATGGTGAAACCCTGTCTCTACTAAAAATACAAAAATTATCAGGGTGTGGTGGTGGGCACCTGTAATCCGAGCTACTCGGGAGGCTGAGGCAGGAGAATCTCCTGAGCCCAGGAGAAAGAGGTCACAATGAGCCAAGATAGTGCCATTGCACTCTGGCCTGGGCAACAAGAGCAAAACTCTGTCTCAAAAGAAAAAAAAAAAGTAGCAGGATTCCAGAGACACTGGAATACAAAGAAACCATCTATCCACAGTATGCTGAGAACGCAGGCGTTCCAGATGGGTCATTTAAAACACATTGCCTTCAAGGAGGAACCCAAAGTTAATTTTTAGCAGGAAATAAAAAGCTTTCAGTTTACATCCATGGACATAGGTAGTAGTGCTGGCTAAACAAGTAAAAATTTGGCTCTTGTTATTACAATAGTTTCTTCAGAGGTAAACTTTGACAAAGCCTAGCAAATAACAAAAGAATTTCAAAAGAATTCCCCCAATGAACTTTCAAGGAAGAATTGTATTTAGATATAAATAGCTGCTGATTTGAGTCAATTCAGGAACTTCTCCTTTCTCATTTCTGATCCTCAAATTAAAATCCTTTAATCAAAAAAAAAAGTAAAATGAGTTTTATTCCGCAATTTGAGACGAGGCCAACATTGTAAATACTGCTGGGAGAAAGAAGCCAGCAGCTGGCCATGTTGAAAAAAGCCCTGAGCCTGATTCTAGGCCTGTTAACGTCTGTCCAACTCATGATCACTAGCAATGCAGGCCACCTCTTCATTCTCATTAGCTGTGAAATGAGGGGCTTGAATCAATGGGCCCCAGGTTCTGTCCTTCTCAGCATAATACCTGTAACTAAGGCTTCAAGTAATATAAAGTGCAAATGGCCAAGAACACGTACTTTCCATGGAACTATTTTAATGTAATGGAGGATCTCTGCCAGGAGAAGATTCTAGAAGGAGGAGGAAGAACATTTCATCTGTCTTATTTTTATACAGTTGAAAGGCCAGCCCTTCTGTGCCTTGCAGAAATCTCAAGGATTCACTGCAACTGTGTGATGCCTCTTTGAGGCATCCTACACATTTTCCTTATTTTCCACTCTAAATGCCATGAGCTTTTTTTCTGAAATACATGCTATGGCACAAATGGAGAAACTTGACTCCAGCTGTAAAGAGATTTGTGTTTTATGGGATAGGTATCTGATCACTTCTCTTTGAAAGCCCATCCTTCCTCTACCTGATCTGGTGTTTAAATGGTCCCTGAGGAGACCACGTGTTCAGCATGCATAGTGTCCTGTTATAGGTATGTTCCATCAGGCACTGGTCCTAGCCCTGCA